CGGTCGACCGGTTGAGGTTACTAGTCGACCAAAATGGCCCAGAAATGCATTTTTTTTTTCCCTGTTTAAGTGCTCTAAGGACTTGACATCCTAGTAGCTTCACTTGTGATCTTAAATATAGTCAAAACCTACCCCAAGACATTCATAAACATTCATGCATTGATAATATGGCGTATCATGCTTAATCAATTTCATCAGTCGTTGCTCCATTTCAATACAGAATTATTACAAATTTCAAATGTATTACCAAATATAACTCATATAACCAATAAGGGTTTCATTTACACCATTTGAGATATAAATCAATACATGCTTTGAAATATATATTAAAAAATGATTACATGATCTAAATCTATAGTGCAACAAATTAATTTCTTCAATGCTCCCACGACAAGTTATTGAATCTCATTTGATTCCTTTGCATGGACCTGAAAAATGTTAATGGAAAGGGTGAGCACGAAGGCTCAGTAGGCGTCAACTTTGGACTCCCTTGAGTCACACAACACATAATGGGACAAAAGAGGTACTTAGCACATTTATAGTATGAAAGCAAGTTCATCAATATCAATCTCATAACTCAAATGCAATTGTGTAAGAAATGAAATGAAATGCACAATGCTCCCCGACCTTTGTCTCTACCGACCCAAACTCACACTGAAAACCGCTAACCGACTTTACCGAAGCGAGATTGATAACAATCCCTGGTTCCAAATCCAAAAACCATTTGGGGCCTAGTATCACCCTTTTCACGTCCCACACTGGACCATACTCCCTCTAGGTCAAGTTTGCATCGGACTCACTAAATCCGGCTCCTTTTATAAAAACTTTCTTTCAAACTCTTTCTCATTCTCTTTTCCGCCATGCAATGCAAATGCATCTTCTCAGATCAACATAGCCTCAATTCCATTTATATAACAATGATAGCATTGGCATGGCATTCATAATGCAAAAGCTATAAACATGGCATCTTACATAATTTAGCTAAAAGCATGGTATTTATAGCTAATCAACTATAATCAAGGCATTTCTACCTCACTCAACAACAAGTATGCTTATTCATACAACTCTTATCATTTCAATCATGCCAGCATCTTTCATATAGCATAGAAAATCACTTATTCATTTCATGTAAGCATGCTTAGAACATAATATCATGCCATCATTATCCAACTAGTAACAAGTCATAACCTTGCATTTAAAACATAAATTTTCCTAGATGAACAACCAATATACTCAATGAGAAGCAAAGTATAAAACATTAAGAAAACCCCTACCTCAAAGAAGTTAGCCAAACAAGGCCTTAGGAATCCCTAATTTTCGAGTCTCTCCAGTAGTAAGATTGGTCTCAAAAGATGGCCCTCGTTGAGTGTAATGGAAGTCTCTTCTTGGCCTTCTCCAAAATCCCATTCTAACCCTCTTATTTATGGCTTACAAGCTTGAAGGATATAGATATAGAAAGAGAAAATGAGAGTGTATAGAGAAAGGGGGGTTCTACTGAGGAGAAGAAGAAGGAAATATATGGTTTGAACAACATTTGACTTGTGGTCCATAACTTGACACTTGTCACCATGTGGATGACTACTACTTTTGGTTGGTTTACCCTTTTGCCCATCTATAACCATCGAAACTCCATCTATGTAAATATCTTCAACAATGCCTTCACTTAAAATGGATATAGGTGTATGTATATATGTTTAAAAGACCACAATGCCCTTCACTTAAAATGACAAAACCGGGAGAAGTTCCCGAGCCCGGAAATCGTCCTGACTTCTGAAAAATTCTAAAAGTGGTTCCGTTAACTTTAGTTGACTTAAAATTAAAAAAAAAAAAAAAAAATGCATTTCTAAAACCCTTGACTCGAAAAATGACCAAAACAGCCTTCGGGACCCGCATGGCACGTAAAACGATGCATAAAAATAATTCAAAAAAAAAATTCAAAAAAAAAATCCAAAAAATCGAGGACATTACAAGGATTCTCATATATGCCATGGTCTATACCAGACAAGACATCCGCTACACTATAGGGATAGTCAGTAGATATCAGTCCAATCCCGAACTTGATAACTGGTCTACTGTGAAAAAAAAATCATAAAGTACCTTAGGAGAACCAATGATCTCATGCTCATTTATGGATGTGATAATGTGGTCCTACATAGGTATGTTGATTATAATTTTCAATCAAATGTAGATACTATGAGGTCCATGACTTGGTGTATGTTCACTCAATAAAAGGGAAATCAGTTGATAGAGTGTAAAGCAGATTTCGACTACTGACTCAACCATGAGTACATTGCAGCCTTAAAGACAGCAAAGGAAGCCTTTTGGTTTGATCTCATTGATTTAGAGGTTGTGGAGCATACTAGTCTGCCTATCAAGCTATACTGTAACAATAGTGCAAAAATAGCCCAAACCAATCACCCAAGGCTCCATAGAGAAACAAAGTAAATTGAGAGGAAGTATCATGTCCTACATGATATTGTCCAACAAAAAAATATACTCATGGCTAAGAATATTGCATCGGAACACAACTTTGTTGATCCATTCACAAATGTGTCATCGATCAATAGTTTTGATCATCACCTGGATAACATGGGAGTTAGATGTGATTTGAATTGGCTATGAGGGCAAATGGGAGATTGTTAAGATTTATATGTCTTGGCATAGCGAATTTCTATTTGAATTAAAGTAACATATATAATTATGAAAAAAAAAAAGTAACATATATTCCTAGTAAATATGAAATGATATATTTATGCTTTATACAATTGGTGAATTCAATGTATTATGTTTCGATTCATTATAGAATTGATAGTGTCCACTTGATTACAAGAGATATTTATATATATGTCGTAACGATCAATGCATGAACATAAATAGTAATTATAAATAGTTCATAGTCGGTAATTATGGATGAATTCTTAATTAATTAAAGCTTGAACCAGATCCGCTTTAGGTTGAAATATATTGCGAGAGCCGTCGTATGCAATTGTTTTCTATCACTGACATGGCATTTGATTCTTAAGCATGAGAGAAGTATAGACTCTTTTGTTAATTAGTAAATTACTTTGATTTGTGCAGTGGATTCTTCGGAATCCAAATACCGACACTTTAGGTAGTTATGTAATTAAATATTTGTATCATTGCTACTTATATTTATTTTGTATTGATTCTGCTTTATCACAAAGTAAATTCGAAGGCCTTCGTGTGTTTTAGACAAAATGATTTTCTATGTATTTATTTACTAAATTATTATTTTTGTCAAACAAATATTTATTGTGATCAAACCAGAAATAATCAAAGGTACCAAAATAAATATATTAATTTAGTAGTTGGATTGATGGCTTTATTTATTCGATAACTAATTATGCATAGAGGGATCAAAATGCAACATTGACTTAGAGGTTATTTACTATTTAATTGGAGTTCAATTAATTTATTTTAGTGGAGTATAAATTGATTTATGAATTAATTGAATTGGGTCCATGGTATAATGGACCCGACCAATTATTAATTCATTGTAGCCAATAAAATAGTAAGCCCAAGAAATTCTCACAAATAGCCCAACTTGATATTGGAGGCCCATTATATTTGAGATATCACGTAAATTTTAGAGACCGAGAAATATATTGTCTTCATTTTTATTTTGACTAAATATACATGGGGTCCATGTATTTTTTTTGAGGTTAGTCCCTTGTGCATAATTTTGGAAGACAGTGCATAATTTTAGAAGACAAAAAAAATATTATTTTTATGGTTAGTGTTCTCATTGATGAGGCTCCCACAAACTTTGTCCCCAAGGTCATTCATGGAGGTTTATGGGTGATTCCTAAAGGCAATATCACTACCAAAATGATGGAAATCCAAAGAAAATGCATCCAGTTAAGGGATTTACAATAAGTGAAAATATTTATTTTAAATGATAGATTTAAGGTTTCCTCAAACCTTGATGTAAATTTATTAACTCTAAATGAATGGATTATCATCTTCTTCATGCATAAAACTTATCTCTATACATAAATCAAAATCTTTATTTGAAAATTCCTCTAAAAAATTTTATAACTTCTATTTCCCTAACAGGATGACATATCATTTTTCTTTTTTCTATTACAAATCTACTTCTAAGATAAAAATGTTCAATTCAACTTAAATGGATTTGGATCATTTCCAACCATTTCATGAGAATTACTCCATCTCAAATGCAATTTGGACGTGGGACAATTAGTCGACTACCAACGCATTTATATATTACAAAACCCCAACAAAAATCAAATAAGAAGGAAAAATACCCAATATCAAAACTAATCACTAATTCACAATTAGTTGCTTTCATTGTTCCATGCTCGGCTTGCCTAACTTTTTTGCCTCTGCAACACTCAGCCACTACACCACAATACACACAATGAACAAGACAATGTATAGGACAACAGTCCCAACCTTTATTATATATAATATATAGACGAGTCTATGCAGGCTACACACACACACACACACCGTATATTAGAGTCTAAAGCTCTAAATGCATATATTTGTAGATCTAGAGAATGAAGAAAACAATTTGAGTTGGAGAAAGATTCAAGTCTAGAGAGAGATTTTACATGTGAGAAGGCTACAAACTAGCAGGAGAAAATAAGAAGTTAGATGGATGCCATTTTGGTTCTTGAAAAGAAGTGCACTGTTTTTTCTTTTTCTTTTTTTTTCATGCTTCCTAATTCATTCACTTCAAGACTGGTAAAACAGCACAGCAATATGGTTTTGTTTTGAAATCCTTATTGCTTTCCTCTCATTTTTCCTTAAACTGAAGTGCAAGTACGGGAAAGTTGGGCTTTTGGTAATATATGGCACACGTGTTGGGTAAACTAGTAATTGTCCCATTCCATAATTCATATAGTTGGAAACACATAATAAGATATTCAAATCTGGGAAGAGGACCACAAACTAGGGTCCCTTACCCGACGAGCACATCATGCTCAAGTGCCAAATTCCATAGGTAACTTGCACCATATTCAACAGTATTTATTTACTCAAATAATTCAAGAACTGATATTTACAACTTTGAATGATATAAAATTGTAAATAAAGAAACAATAGTTTGAGCTTTAACATATAATGAATCTGACCTTTCATTGTATAGGGGCTTCTCAAATTATCTGAACTGAATGCTCCTCTTTTGCTATATTTCTATATTACAGTAAATTAGACTTTTTCGTCAAGCTCACTGGATTCGGATAATCCATTCTGTTTCAGAGGTTTGTTGATTGGAGTCGAATAGTTCAAACGTTCTTTTCCTCCGGGCTTAGATGAAACATTCCCATACCAAATCATTCCTGCTATTGCAATGATCATACCTAGAACTAATTGCAGATTAAGACCCTCTTTCCCGAAGAAAATGAATCCTAAAATCAGGACAAGAACAGTCTTCATATGGCCAAGCACTTGGAAGGATACTGCCGTGAATCTTCCAATGCAGATGAATTGGCTGAGATTGGTCCCAATAGCAATGGTGCATGATATGACCATGAGCAACTGCACAGAACAACGAAACCCAAATCATTAGCAGCAGTCAACAAACAAGAAATAACATGGATACCAAGTAAAAAGTACCTAGATATATATACAAGTACAGATAAGTTTGTTCTGTGCATCTTCGTGCTTTACATATAATGGCGTCATGCATGTGAACTTTTGATGAGAAAATGGATACCAATTACCAAGGCATCATTACTTGATACATGGCATCCGTTTGAAAAAGTAAAACACTTCTGAGGGTGTTTCTTTTTTTCTCACTTTTTTTTTCTTATTCCACTGTGATTGAAATTATGCTCCGGTTGTCAAGCATGAGAACGAGAATTCAAGTCTAAGAGCAACATGTTTGCGTAGATAATGTCAAATGTTACGACTATATACCCTCAATTAACGAGATCTCAATATGTAATATCCCATTTACGAAGGCAATTGACTGCGTCATCTAGGAGGGTGGGACCTAATTGTCAAAAAAAAAAAAAAAAAAAGATCTAGGAGAGTAGGATCATGAGTACATAGAAGAATCGCCAATAAAAAATCCACCTTAGCTATTAAAAGCTTCAAAAAGTTCAATTTTTTTATAGAAAAATACAATTTATTAAGAAAAAATAATATTCTCATGGTCTCAAAAAATATATATTTAATTAAAGAAACGCAAAAATAGTGCACGCTAGAGCAGAATGGCAAGGTGTACAGTTGGTAAACGATTCTTTACACAAAAAACAAATAAACGCTGTACACTGGATCATTTCCCTATCATATATCATATTGTACACTTGAAACATGAATTATATTGCACAATGTGTATTGCAACATGCCAAAAACAGTGATGCAAGGATGAAAGTGAAATATAATCATGGGCATGATCAGAAGCCTATTAGTGCATGCATCACCACAAGAAAATGTAATGATTTGTGATATAAGAATATGCATGAAAAAAACACAAGGTAATCGAAAGAAATGTGCCATGTTGGAATGCATGTGATCCTAAATGTGCGAGCTCAAACTTTCCCATACTATATAAAGCTAATAAAGTGTACTTCATTATGTCAACTTGGATTTTCATACAACCAATATACTTACCACAGATACGAAACTATATTCATAGGCATCAACCCTTTTATTTGTCAACCAATAGTCCAGAAAGGGCCCTAGTAGCAGCAGGGATGCAGCCTGTATTGGAGCAGTATGCCCTAATAAGTTGAAAGATCCTAGTGAATACTTTCGTTGAAGCATATGTACATACTGCACACAGAAATGAAGGGAAGTACAATCAGAAAAGCGTGACAGTCGACAATTACAGAAGAATCATTGTATGATCTATATCTTCATCCTGACAAAGGGATTTTACAGAGGTTTACTTAACAATACTGGTACAAGGAAACCCTAAACATTTTCAGGTTTAAAAAAAATTGCAGATTCCGAGACAAAAGAAACCCGATTACATTCTATCCCATTATGAATTGGAGCAAGATGGAGTTTCTCACCAGATGAATATACCAACAAGTACATAAAAATAAAATTAAACTAGCAAAATATGCTTAACCTTCCCCAAACCCTAAACAAGCTTAAAATAATTGACCCAAAACTGGCCCAGCCTAATTATTCAAAATGCCTACACCTTTACCATTAGGACCATGACACAGCATCTTACTCAGTTAATATTTCCCACCGACATCCCTAGGTAAGAGCATAGGTCCACTGAAAGATAACTTACATATTGCTGCAGAGAAGTGCTCCAAACTGCCACAAGGGCAGCAATAAAACCCTTGGCATTGACGCTCACATCAGTAACAGTGCAGACTGCAACACCAAGGAGAACTAATGTTATGCTAAGCTTAGTGTCCCTCGAGTATCGCATCTTATCCAAAACAACTTCCAGGACACAAGATACAGGAATCATGCTCAGCTTCGCAATCTGACAAGAAATTCCCAAAGGAAAAGATAAATAATAACTCGACACTTTATTTTTCAAAAGGAAAACTCTGGACATCTCTATGACAGCAAGAGAGCAACTATAATTCTCCGAAACTGACCTGATAAAATCCCACAGAATTCCACATTAAACTCACATTCATTCCCACGATAGAGAAGTTTGCGAACAAAACAAATTTCAGAAGCTCAGTTAATGGTAGATGGGAAGGTTGAATATAACCCAGCCATCTAAGAACAACAGTCATCAAGGTGGTTGTGGCAAAATGCAGACCGGTTAAAGTTGTAGCTGCAGTTCAACAAAATGAAATAACATTGTGTCAACATATTTAACGGCATATTAATTTGCCATCTAAGACTGGTAATTTCTAAACACAATGTGATTCAAGATCTAATTCAGCAGCAAAAAATAAGATAAGAACAAAAACACAAATTTGCATCCCTAAATTTGGACTGTCATCATTGTTGATATTATATGATTGATACCATTTAAATCGATGAGTTTTTATGGACATTCTTTAGTTTGGAAGTGATGACATTCAAAAATGACAACGATAGACTTCCCTGAGAGCTAGGGAAACTACCAAAAGTAATTCTACAATTACAAGGGACAAAACCCCCTCGTTGATCCTTGAAGGTTCATTTTGGATCAGATATCATGGTTAGGTAAAAATAATTGGACTTAATTTAGGCTCAATCACATCTTTTGATTTGATTTTATTTTTTTGAAAAAAAACACTGGAATGGTTAATTTAAAATAATTAAAGGGGTGGCATGATTTCTTCAATGTTCTTTGTACCTTTGTTGACTTACATTCTGGTGTGCTTATACTATGTTCTCAGTTAAATTTAACTTCACATTACTTTATATTTTATATAATCCTGGAATTGCGCCATGTGATGGTTTATTGGCTAATAGAAAAAATTGCCAACACATCTTTTGCACTAATAAGAATGGTAACTCATTGTTCCAAGCATTGGTGCTCATATTTTAAGATTTTTTTCCTTTTCTTGACAGCAAACACAAAACTTCTAATAGGGAGACAGAGATACACAAGAAAGATAAGGCATCCTTCAATGAGCAAGAATCATTGTTCCAAGTGTGGGTGCTCTTATATAACCATTTTTCCTTTTCCTGACAGAAAATAAAATAAGAAATTATTAGGGAGAAAGAGATATATGAGGAGGACATAAGGCTTCCTATAATAAGAAACAAGAAAGACAGAAAGAGGAGAGCATGAGATGGCCCTCTTCTCAATGGAGGTTTGATGTGCACTCTTCTATAGAGCCCTTTCGGATGCCCCAAGGCATGCTTTCCTGTGGAAAGCAGTTTGGCGCACAAAGGCCACCTTGCCACCTTTTTCTCTTGGATAGCAGTTCTGGGGAGGATTCTGACTCTCGACAACCTGAGGAGGAGGAGACAGATTGTTGTCAATTGGTGTTGCATGTGTAAGAAGGCTGAATAGTCGGTTGATCATCTCCTGTTACATTGCCCTGCGGCTAGGCTGCTAGGGATAGTTGGGGACTGATTTTGGCATTGTTTGGAGTTCAGTGGGTTATGCCCCGGTCATCGATAGACATTATTGAGGCTTGGAGGGGGTGTATAGTGAGTCCCACGCCCCGTGAATTTTGGAGGGCGGCGCCCTTGTGTGTTCGGGGGTGTTTGTGGAGGGAACAGAATAGGAGACCCTTTGATGGGAAGGAGACTCCTGTTGGGGCACTGAAATTCTCTATTATTAGTTCTCCTTTTTGTTGGGTCTTTGGAAGAAATTGTAAATCTGTGGGGGAGATACTTGATTTTTTGGACACATTGAGAGGCTAAGGGCCCTATTTGGTCCTCGTTTGTTTTTGTGGGCTGTGTTCCCTTTTGAACACTTTCTAATACAACCCAAAAAAAAAATTCTGGAGCATGAGATGGCTCAAGAGTACAGAAGAACTAAGCTCTAGCCACCCCTAATGTGGGTAAAAGTGGCCTCTAAACTGTAGGTGAGTTATAACTCCTATTTTAGGGAGACAACTTCCCAGTTTTACCACCCTAAGAACCCATCTAATTCTAGTTCCAAAATCATAGATTTCTGAACGAAGCAACCCTAAAGCCAAGTCCCTAAGAAGCTACTTCTCATCCAACCTATAAGAACCATCAATCTCCATCACCTATCACGATTTTTTGAACCCATGCATTGAGCTTCGTGAAGGTCTTCTAAAGCTACAATTTCAGCCTTAATAGCTAAACCAGATTCCAAGAGTAAACCGGAACAAACCATCAAAACAACTTCAAAAAAATTGCATGAGATACAAATGTTCTGGCTCACCGGGCAGTGCAAGCAGTACTTCGATTTTTTTTTTTTTTTTTTTTTTTTTTCTTCGATGCAGTACTAACAATACCCAGTATGTGTACATGCCCGGTAAAGAGACTCTTTTAAGGATCTAAAGCAAATGGATTGGGCCACAATTAGAAAAGGAATAATAGTTCCACGTATACCGAGCATCCATCTCTTGCAGATAGAAACGCATCAATTTTCAGAATTCCAGCAACTTGACATGTGCGCATGTAATAGGAAGAATTATGTTTTCCTTTCCTCCAAATATGATAACAATGCAGTAGTTGTCACCATGAAAAAATAAATAACTTGGAAGGAAGGCCATTGTATATGGCTATTACCGCATGTCAAAAAGCACTATGCAAACATCAAGTTGTGTAAATCTCAAGTAAGGGCATCCTCAAGTGCAATCCCATTACAATATATGAGAAACCAAGGATGGAGCCATGTGGGACTTAGTGGGGGCAGTTGCCCCAATCAATTTCTTTTTATTTTAATTTTGCACATATATTTTCATTAAACCCCCCTTACCTCTTTAGTCTTTACCGTTGTTATTGTTTTTTCAGCTTCCAGTCTAAAAGGTAATAGCCACCCGAGGCTCTTTTCAGTGTATAGTCATTTAAAACCAAAACCCCATAACTCAAATCCAATATTAACCCTAAATAACGAAAAATTAGGGTTCTTTATAACAGACGCCAGTGAATTAGCAAGGAAAATTTGCATTTGTGACCGTGCAAAATTCTCCTTCTAGCTCATCAAAAATAGCACCCTCTGGAGTAAATTTTTAATTACATCACTGACAGCAACAAAGGATATAAAGCATTACGCCCTTGCATGGGGTGGACAACGTAATTCGATTTCACATTCAACTTTATCTAGACATTCATCTTATCATAAGCCTCATGTCTCTTCTCACAATCTTGACACAATGGTATCAACCTTACTCTTATAATTCTGACCTCCACTTGATTCATTACTGGGATCATTGCCTGGTGCATTGATAAAATGCTCAGATTGTCAAGCGTGACAACATAGGTTTAAATCCTCAGAGCAGACACTTTGTGCAAAAAATGTCAAATGTTAGGGGTCTGTATTCAATCTGTCCCACCAATAGCCTCGATTAATAGGGACCAAAGTGGGTAATGATCCTTCTTTAAACTTAATTCATTATCCTTAAAACTGTGGTCTGATATTCATCACATTGACCAACCAATCTTATGCGAATACCATGTCCTCAACATGTCCTACCTCAACCTTCTCACAAGTATAAAATCTTTTTCTTTACACGCACACGTTAACTCGTCCATCTCAACATCAACAGGTTTCTAATCTGCCCAGCATTTTGTTCCACAAACTATCAACTTTTGTTTCTCTATCAGGTATTATGAAATCATACAACATCTGCTTAATTCATGCAACCTTAGTTTTATACACTACATCCGCTTCAATCTCTCTATCCTCATGGACATTCATCCAATATAACAAAAAACACAAAAGCAGTCACAAAAAATGAGTTTGTAGGGACCTTTTTAACTCTAGTAAGACTTAGATTTCCATTTTAGAATCTTCAGTATTAACTGGAAAATTTAGTACATGCAGATGATTAGTTTTTGTTAACAGATGATTGGGAGGAAAATTTCCCACTGTTGCCAAATAAGAACATCCATGAAACAATTATAATTGGTGTCCCATTTAATCTTCACTTTAGGTCCAACTCTTTTTAAACTTTACACTTCAATTCCACATCATTGTGTTACCATGTGCATGGATATATAAGTTCTCCAACATAAGTAATTATACGAGTACATGACTTCATTATGCATCTGTATGGTCTTGTATCATATACATCAGCAATTCAAGAAAAAGGAAAAAGATAATTTCTTTTGCATTTTTCAAAGTATTTCCATTTGTAGGCAGACCCTAAGAAGCACGGACATGGATACGGGACACGGATACGACACGACACGGACACGGTGACACGGCAAATCCAAAAAAATTAGGACACGGACACGGCGAATAGTATATATATATATATATATCAGCATTAATAATTTTAAAAAAAAAAACACTGATATGTTTAGGTTGGAATATATATATATATATATCACTGATATGTTAGTATATATATATATCAGCATCTTTAGGACACGGACACGGCGAATTGTGGCATCTTTAGGTTAGTATATATATATATCAGCATCTTTAGGACACGGACACGGCGAATTGTGGCATCTTTAGGTTAGTATATATATATATCAGCATCTTTAGGGTAGTACAAAACAAAAAATAGAACATATCAGCATTAAAAAATTTAAAAAAAAAAAAAAATTTAACATATCAGCATTAAAAATTTAAAAAAAAAAAAAAAAAATTCCAGAAAAGTGTGTCCGAGCCGTGTCTGAGCCGTGTCCGAGCCGTGTCCGAGCTGTCTGAGCCGTGTCCGAGCTGTTTGAGCCGTGTCCGTGCCGTGTCCGAGCCGTGTCTGAAAATTAAAAAAAACAAAAAAATTCCAGACACGTTTTTTGGCGTGTCCGACACGTGTCGGGGCGTGTCCGACGCGTGTCCGTGTCCGACACGTGTCGGACACGGATTCTTTGCCCATTTTGGAGTGTCCGTGCCTCCTAGGGCAGACCTATACATGCTATAGAACCAATGTTTAGAACCTTGTAAGCTATAGAAGGGAAGTAGTGGAAGCACCTAAGAGGAACTATTATATGTGAGATGGACTCTTTTAAATGCATCAAGTACTAGTATAGAATATGAGATGATAAGGTAATGCGCAAGGGATGTGTCCGGCATGTCTAGTATATGCATCCGACAAGCTTAATATGTAATTATAATTACAATTTTCTTACTGTGCCTATATTGGTTGCTTCAAAGTGAGTGAAATGCTTATGTTTGACACCATATTATGTAGTATACCATAATATTAAACAATTTGAATAATTAGCAGACGTCTAGACACATAACAGAAACCAACATCCATCTCAAGTCAATGTAACATAGGAAGTGAGTCCAACATAAGCTGATTGATTACTGTTTCATTGACATATTTAGCTACAAAACTCAGCAGGAATGATTGGTTTAGATTTTAGAACCCTAATCAGAGAATGCATTCTTGGATTAAAATGCCTTAGAACGGAAGAAGTCAAGCAAGTCTTTGAATTAGACAGGAGTAAGGATCCTAGCTAAGATGGTTTCTAGAAGTTTCTTAAAATTGAGCAAACACTACAGAAAAATAATTGGTTAGTGTTTAAAAAGGTCCACTTGATTGGTATGTGAATATGTGATTAGTCGATGAACCAATGCAACTTTAGTTGCCTTCGCTAAAGTTTCGAGCAAAAGTTGGATTAAGGGCTTTTTCTCTTCTTACGAACTTCTTAATCCTCATCAATGGAACTATTAAAGGCCGTAACTAGTAAGCATACATCTAAACTTCTTTTCCAATTGAGTTCTCTATTTCTCTTTGTATCACTGTAGGACATGGTCTGAGTAACCTCATCCAATTGAGTTCTCTATCCCTTTCTGCAAACAGTTTGGAAGAACACAGACCACTGAATTGCATAAAACGAACAATATCACAAAAAATATATACATAAAATAAAATAAAATAAAAAATAAGACAGAACGTGTAATGTGTTAGACAAACAAAAAATGACAGGAATTAAACAATTATTTTGAATAGGAGTGTCATAAGTAGCGTACCAAAACTGAAACCATATGTAGCCATTAAGGCTTTATTGACCATAATAATTCCAACAGAAGTAACGACATTGAACAACCATGCGGCTGAATCAATAACCGCCTTCTGATCTGCCTTGTCCGAAAAAGTCATATTAATCTAGAGCTTCCAATTCATCACCAGAATCTTCACTGTGCATTTTTCAACAAAGAAAATGTCATGCTTGAATATCAAAAATGAAAGCTTCATCTATTATAGAAAACAATTTCCTTAAAATAAACTAGATCAGAATAATATAAAATAAAATAAAGGATATATTCTCAGGTAGGGGGACATTTTTTTTTCTTTTTGCTGATAAAAGAGTGATTTCGAAAAAGAGCATTTTGAGGAATATCTTTCCAGAAGACATATAATAAAGAAACAAAATATTAAGAGCACAAAACAACCTTATTTATTTACATAAAGATAAATTTTCAAGATTTCACCAGGAAAATTAAAAATTGTGACAAGAAGCAAAATTATATATTAAGCGAGTTTGAAACTGTAAATGTATGGTAAATAATATATAGCCAAACGTCAAAAGTAACACATCCAATAAAGATAAAAACATAACAACGATAACAGGACAAATCATTTATCATAATTATGATGCGACTCAAAAGGATTACAAATTAGTAGCAGAAGACATATCATGCCAAACATCTACATTAAACTGATCAACAATGTTTTAAAAGGTAATAAAAAGGTTTGCAATTTAATGAGTCAAACTCAAAAGGCTTGTCTCTTTGTCCAGGCAAACTTTTGATGTATGATTTGGCAGTGATAACGCTGGGGATATGCCTCATAAGGCAAGGATTAGCCAAATGTGAGTATTTCATGCCTTTCTACAGCTCAACTCAAGCAGTTTACAAGACTCAAAATCTTCCTTCAATTTTAAAATTTAGGCTAGTTTCTTTTATCATGTGGTTATATAACATGTTTCTGTGTGTCCAAACATAATTTAATACTAACAATAATAACCATGTTTGATTCCCGAGCCACGTCTTGTGTCATTTGCATCTCTATGTACAATCTTCACATGATCAAATTTCTAACGGAGTGTTACTAGTGTTTCTACTTTGACTATGGTAGTACGTTCTTGAAAGTTCTAAAATTAATGAAATTTTTTTGTTTAGATTATGTATCATCTCTCTTTCGCATTACCACTTTCAGTGTTTTGTATAAAATAAAAATAAAGGATGTATTCTCAGGTAGGGGGACATTTTTTTTTTTTTTTTTCTTTTTTGCTGATAGAAGAGTGATTCGAAAAAGGGCATTTTGAGGAATATCATTCCAGAAGACATAAAATAAAGAAACAATATATTAAGAGCACAAAACAACCTTAATTATTTACATAAAGATAAATTTTCAAGATTTCACCAGGACAAAATAAAAATTGTGACAAGAAGCAAAATTATTTATTAAGCGAGTTTGAAACTGTAAATGTATGGTAAATAATATATAGCCAAACCTCAAAAGTAACACATCCAATAAAGATAAAAACATAACAACGACAACAGGACAAATTCATTTATCATAATTATGATGTGACTCAAAAGGATTACAAATTAGTAGCAAAAGACATATCATGCCAAACATCTATATTAAACTGATCAACAAGGTTTTAAAAGGTAATAAAAAGGTTTGCAATTTAATGAGTCAAACTCAAAAGGCTTGTCTCTTTGTCCAGGCAAACTTTTGATGTATGATTTGGCAGTGATAATGCTAGGGATATGCCTCATAAGGCAAGGATTAGCCAAACGCGAGTACTTCGTGCCTTTCTACAGCTCAACTCAAGCAGTCTACAAGACTCATAATCTTCCTTCAATTTTAAAATTTAGGCTAGTTTCTTTTATCATGTGGTTATATAACATGTTTCTCTTTGTCCAAACAAAATTTAATACTAACAATAATAACCATGTTTGATTCCCGAGCCACGTCTTGTGTCATTTGCATCTCTATGTACAATCTTCACATGATCAAATTTCTATCGAAGTGTTACTAGTGTTTCTACTTTGACTATGGTAGTATGTTAGTGAAAGTTCTAAAATTAATGAAATTTTTTTGCTTAGATTATGTATCATCTCTCTTTCGCATTACCACTTTCAGTGTTGTATAAAATAAAATAAAGGATATATTCTAAGGTAGGGAGACATTTTTTTTTTTTTTTTTTCTTTTTGCTGATAGAAGAGTGATTTCGAAAAAGAGCATTTTAAGGAATATCTTTCCAGAAGATATATAATAAAGAAACAAAATATTAAGAGCACAAAACAACCTTAATTATTTACATAAAGATAAATTTTCAAGATTTCACCAGGAAAAATAAAAATTGTGACAACAAGCAAAATTATTTATTAAGCGAGTTTGAAACTGTAAATGTATGGTAAATGATATATAGCCAAACCTCAAAAGTAACACATCCAATAAAGATAAAAACATAACGACGACAACAGGACAAATTCATATATCATAATTATGATGTGACTCAAAAGGATTACAAATTAGTAGCAAAAGACATATCATGCCAAACATCTGCATTAAACTGATCAACAAGGTTTTAAAAGGTAATAAAAAGGTTTGCAGTTTAATGAGTCAGACTCAAAAGGCTTGTCTCTTTGTCCAGGCAAACTTTTGATGTATGATTTGGCACTGATAATGCTAGGGATATGCTTCATAAGGCAAGGATAAGCCAAACGTGAGTATTTCGCGGCTTTCTACAGCTCAACTCAAGTGGTTTACAAGACTCATAATCTTCCTTCACTAGTGTTTCTACTTTGACTACGGTAGTATGTTCTTGAAAGTTCAGTGTTCAGTGTTTTTTTGTTTAGATTATGTATCATCTCTCTTTCGCATTACCACTTTCAGTGTTTTATATAAAATAAAATAAAGGATATATTCTCGCCCGCGCGGGCCGGGGGGGGGGGGGGGGGGGGAGATTAATTTAAAATATATATATATATAGATTGTAATATATATAAGAGTGTGTGTGTTTATAATAAAAGTCTTAATTCTTAATGCAATGAAAATTTTAAATAAGATCATTTATAAATTAAAAGCATTTCAAAATCCATTAAATACATACAAAGTTACAGACATATGTCTATCTAATTCAAGCAAAAATGTGCACAAAATAGATTAAAAAAAAAACTAATTCTGTCATATATCTAGTCTAGTATGACATAGATTTGTATAAAAACTGAACAAAAGGATCAAACACCTACTATCAAAGTTGTGCTCGACACCTTTTAGAGAATGTGACTGACGCACTACAAGTAACCAGAAAGAAAGAAAGGGATGAGAAAATAGAAGAATAGATAGACTAGAAGAAGGGATGAGAAAATAGACGAAAGGGGAGAGAACGGAGTGAATAGATAGGCAGGATAGACTGAATGGGTGAGAAAAGCAAGAACAGAAATGAGAGAAACAATAGAATACAGAGAGAGACTCAAAGAAAACGATAATCAATATTCTCCAAAAAGGCAACGATTACAGGTTCTTCCAGTTTTGTGTTAGCTAGGAAGCTAAGGGCTCTCAAAATCGAGCTTAAGAGGTGGAATAAGGAGGTGTTCGGGAATCTTGAATGGAGGAAGAATAGAGTCCTAGCTGGTTTTTCTGAGATTGATCGTCTTGAAGAGGCTGGTCAGGATGTGGAGTCTCTACGCTCTAAGAGAGCTTCTTGCCAGGCGGTTTTTGCTGAGATTGCTAGTATGGAGGAGATCTCGTAGCACTAGAAATCTCGGGCCTTATGGCTTAAAGAGGGAGATCATAATACGAAATTTTTCCATAGGCTTGCTAATGCCCACAGAAGGAGTAATCACATAAGGCGAATCCAGGTGGATGGTCTGGAGTTGTGGAGGGAGGAAGAGATGCACAGTGGGATCGTCTCCTTTTACTAGAAGCTATACACCGAGCCATTAGGATGGGAGACCTAGGCTTGAAGACCTTCATTTTGATGCTATTGCTAAGTTGGATAGAGATGGGCTTGAGGTCCCTTTCTCCGAAGAAGAAGTGCTAAAAGCTTTATCGAGTTGCAATGGTGACAAAGCTCCGAGGCCAGATGGGTTTACTATGCGGTTTCTGATGGAAAGTTGGGAGGTGGTGAGAAACGAGGTGATGGGTACCTTCCAGGAGTTTCATTCTCATAGCATCTTCGAGAATTCGTTAAATGCCTCTTTCATTGCCCTCATCCCTAAGAAGGGTGGTGCTTCTGATATTAAAAACTTTAGACCAATTAGCTCAGTAGGCTGCATTTACAAGCTCATTGCCAAGGTTCTTGCTCTTAGGATGAGGGATATTCTGGATAAGATTATTTAGGATTCTCAGAATGCTTTTGTCGGAGGACGGTATATCCTAGATTCAGTTCTTATTGCAAGCGTATGTGTGGACTCCAGGTTGAGAAGCGGTGTCCCTGGAGTTTTATGCAAACTTGGCATTGAAGAAGCTTATGATCACGTTAATTGGAATTTCCTGCTGTACTTAATTCAGAGAATGGGGTTTGGAAGTAAATGGAAGAAATTGATAGACATGTCTTTCATCCGCAAAGTTCTCTGTTCTCATGAATGGGTCTCCTACTGGTTTCTTCAGGTGTTCTCAGGGTTTGAGACAAGGAAATCCCTTGTCGTCTTTCCTTTTTCTCATCGTCATGGAGGGCTTGAGTAGACTTATGAGGAGGGCAGAGGATCTCGATCTTATCAAGGGCTTTAGGGTGGGCAGAGATCTAGCTCATCAAATAGAGATCTCGCATTTACTGTTCACAGATGATACCTTGGTCTTTTGTGATGCTGACGTGTCTCAACTTAGATATTTGAGGTGCATTCTGGTTTGTTTTCAGGCGGTTTCTGGGCTGAAGGTCAATGTAGCCAAGAGCGTGCTTGTACCGGTTGGGGATGTCCAGGATATTTCCTCCTTAGTCGCAGTTATTGGGTGTGGGGTGGGCTCTTTCCCTATTCCTTATTTGGGTTTGCCTTTGGGGGTCTCCTCTATTATGAGGGTGGGGAGTTGGGATCCTGTGATCGATAGATATGTGAAGAGATTGGCAAGGTGGAAGAAGCAATATCTATCAAAGGGGGGGAAAGTTACTCTCATAAAGAGCACTCTCAAGACTTCCTAATTATTTCTTACCTGTGTTCCAAATCCCATGCTCTGTTGCCGA